AGTTTGTGGCCAGTCAGGAGGAGAGTAGTGTGGGGCTATGTAGGGTTTATTTAACATACACTCTTGGCCCCAGTTCCTGCCACGCCAGAAGCCCAGGGTTCCCCAAAGCATGGATCAGGGTTGTGCAGGAGTGCTGTGCTATGGCTCAGCATGGTAATGTCAGTACTTTTGGCTTATTTATGGGCACTGGCAACAGCCACAGCTTCTACTTCCCTGTTCCCTGATTGAGGAGAAAACTGGCTCCTTCCCAGGCACAGGAACCTGCAGGGTATTTGTCTAAGGAGGAGGATTTGAGGACAGGAGAGGCACAGCACTGTCCCCCTTGAGGTGCAGCCTGGCCTGGCAGAGTGAGCTGCTGACGGGCATGGAACACTGCAGGGATGTCCGAGCTGGCAGCGTGGGAGGCACAAGCTGCTGTAGGAATGGCTCAAGGTGGATAGGACCACATGCCTTGTTCCTTGGGTTTATCTCGGTTGTGGCTGGCAGGCGGTCAGTGGAACCATCCCGGATTGCTGGCACCGAGGGACGGTGATGCTGAGCCCTGCAAGGCGACTGGGTGCTCAGGAAGGAAGGGGGACAGGGCTCCTGTGCCAAGGGGAGGAGGAGGCCCAGCCATGGGGAGCAGAGAGAGGCAGTCCTCACCTTCATGACAACCTAAGAAAGGTTGTCTATGGGAGCATTGCTCTCCCCTATGGAGTTTTATGCTCCTCCACGGCCATCCATCCCACTGCCGCCAGCTGGTGCCTGGGACAGAGCCCTCCCCGTGGGCTGCGACCACACAGCATCCCCCTGAGCATCTGGCACTGATCCTGCATCGCTCCCAGGGCCTCTTCCAGCAGGGAAGCTCCTCTGTTCTGATTCAACCATGCATAGCAAATCAACTGCTGGAAAATAAAGAGCCAAGCTGCTTTTTTGGCCTGGGATGTGATAAGAGAGGTTGTTAAACCTTTCTTGGAGTCCAAGCAGCAAAAGGAGCTGCTGCCGCATACAGCCTTGCAGCAGGACACACGGTTCTGGGAGCAGGAGGGGGAGGCGAGTCTCGGCTGGCAAAAATTGGATGAAAAATGTGTATTCCAGAATTGTGTTTCACTTCTGTGTTTCAACTGCCTCAAGAAAACCACGCGCTTCTCTGCAGCTGGTGCCTCTGCTGATGCACGGGGCAAAAATAGCGGGGAGAAGATTAAAATTGAACTGGCTTGGAGTCAGTGTAATCAGGGAAAATATCTCTGTGATTTGCTATTATAATTTTCAATAACAAACTGCAGGGCTCCTGCTGCACTAATAATAACGGGCTGAATGAGGTGGGGAAAGAACCTGCCACGGGGTGTTTGTGTGTGTGTTTGTGGGAAGCACTTGCAATTTTCCCCATCTCCTAATTTTGAAGAGGTATTTTTAGTGTCTATTTCAAAGAGCTTTACATAAACACATCTGCTGGAGTTTTTGCTTGGCAGTGTCTTTACAACCTTCTTTTCTGCCCCTTCCCTCTCCAGGGACAAAGCAATGGTTTGACTGTTTTCTTTTTCAATCAGATGAGCAAAAAGAGAAAATAAAAGGGTTGTTTTGACAGCACCAAAAGCTTCTTAGCCCAAAGTGGTGGATTTTAGAAGCACTACGAGCAGCTCAGCCCACCCTAAGAGCCCAGGGCAGAAGCGCATCGGAGGTAGAGACAGGGATGCAGGACAACGGGGACCCCAATCCAGTGCCTGCCCCTGCTGTGTAGCCAGACCTTCCAGGTGAGGAAAGGAGAGGAAAGGTGAGATATTGAATCATGTGTCCATGCACGTTTTGCATGGTGCTCAGGAGGAGAAGAGCATCCCTGGTGGGAGCAGCTGCCGGTGCCATGGAAGCCTGTGTCCTTTCACGGGCTGATGTCCCCAGACCCCAGGCGAGGAATCCATCGCTGGTTTAATGCCAGTGGAACATTCACAACTAATAGGCTCATCAGAGATGCTTTAACCTTTTTCGTTTTCGGGGCTCTGGTTGGCTGGAGCCACTCCTACATTTTCACAGCGGGCTGTAGAGATGATGGGAACGTGGAGCCAACCAGGGCTGAAAAGGGCAATGTAGCAAAGTTTCCATATTGGCTTTCCCAGATACTCTGCCCCGAGTTTGGAAATGCTGTTGGTGCAGCTCTGCCAAGTGCACGCAGTGCTTGGGGCCTCCAGAGTGCTTGTGTAGGCAGACGGGTGCATGCACCACCCAACCCAGAGGTGTGTGCAAAGGAAAATAAATGATTTAAAAACCCCAGAAGGGCTTGGTTAGCATGATCCAGCCCCAGAGTGCTCCCACTGCTGCTTGCAAAGCAGCTGGAAAGGGCAGAGGGGCTGCGGCAAGACCACCGAGGGCTGGGACTGCTGGAGCCCATCTTGTGGAGGCAAGGGACGATGCTGCTGCTGGCGGGAGATGGGCTGGTGGCAGCATCCAGCAGCTACAAGGTCACTAGAAAGGAAATTTGCCTCCTTTTTTCTCCTCTTGGGATAGGTTTCTTCAGGGAAAAGGATGACTGATGGAAGGTTTATGGCAGGAGGCTGCTCGGGGCCAGGTCAGAGGAGTTCGGCTGGGACACAGGAGCCTGCGGGCAGGGGAGGGCAGCTGCCTGGCCCCAGCAGCACTGAGGTGCCAGCAGGCAGGGTTGTCAAGTGCACACCAAACCCGCAGTGACTGCATGTCACTGTGGGGCTGCAGGGGACGGGTGTCGCTGGGCTCAGCTCCCCGTGAAGTGCGTATCACCAAGTGCCGCCTTTCATGGCCTGATGAGATGGCACTTGGCCATGGCACCGAGCGTGGCAGTCCAGGATGGAGGAAAGGGGATGGTTTAAGACTCTGCTCCTGATGTCCAGTCCCAGAGGGAGCTGGTGCTGAGTGTGGGGGGCACAGCATGGTTAACTGGCCTCAGTGGTGCCACTACAAACTGGGGGTGCCATGCCAGCCCCCCAGGGGAGGGAGGCAGGGGAGGCACTGGGCGATGGGACTCTGCATTCTTACACCACGCATGAAAGACATGAAAGACAAGAACAACAACAAAAATGTTTCTATATACACATATATATTCAATCAATGTCTATAGAGCTTAATGCAAAGGGATTACCAGCCAGTTTAGAACGTGAGTGGCTCTCAGCTAGAGGAGGATCCAGCCTTTGATGGAATTGGGAGAATAATTATTTCCATCAATAACTACTTGCAAGCCCAGAAGAAATGGTTCACCTAGCACACTGCAGGACAAGAGTCCTTGGTTGTCTCAAGGCCACTGTATTTTAACCTCAGGACCTGAAAATCCCATTAGTGGGTGCTGAGGCTGGGGTAAGAAGGACATTGTGTGCTGTGCCTGGGTCCCTTCTGCAAGGCAGCAGTGCCCAGTGTGCCACCAGCCCGGGGAGGAACCTTTCCACTACTGCTGGAGCTGATTCAACCCAGACTTTGCACAGGTCATTAATTTTGGGACATTTTTAATGGATCCTAATGATTGAGCCTCAGAAGACTGTTCTTAAAAGGGGTTCGGGAAAGGCCACAAGCTAATTAGCTCACACAAAGACAGCAATTAACCGTGTAGCTTCCTGGATGCTTAGAAATAACACAGATGTTGGGAATCTATTAAGCAGAATAATAGATTTTTAAAACCAGAGGGACCATCAACTCCTGCATGTCCTGGGCCAGAAATGTTTCTCTCAGCTTCCCCTCACTTGTACCCTTGTCACTTGTCTTTGGCTGATGCACACCGTTAAACACTCAGGCATTACAAAACGGGCTCCAAGGAGAAAGTGGGAGTTTGCTGAGAGAGAAAAAGCAGCTGGAAAGAGCAGGGTGACCCTTCTTCTGCAGGTGCTCCTGTGCCAGCTCCAGCCCTGAGACGTGTTGTTCATGGCTGGGCAGGTAGCAGGATGTTCCTCAGGTCATGCAGGACTCTGGCCATGCCTAACTGGACCTAATGTGTCGTTTTAGCATCCCATCTTCGCTCTCTAACCACCAATTTGGCCCCATTTAACCCCATGATGTTCACCGTGTGCCTGGCCCTGACCCCTTGTTCCTATCCCTACAGACCATGTGTGATGGTCTCTGCAGCCAAAGCACCCTCCTGGCATGCCTGAGCCACTGTGGACATGCCAATACTTGCTTTATCTATTGAAGTAATCCTCTGGCTGACACCAGAACCATAGCATCCTTGGCACCCCTGTTGGGTATTGTTTATGGCTTTCCCTTATCTTTCTATTCTTTGAAGTAAACACCTGCAGGTGCTGGAGACCTATTAATTTCCTCCCAAGTGTCTGAGCTCGGGCTCATTTGGTTTGTTTTCTCCATTCGGCTTCTTTTCTCCATTTCAGCTTGCCCCTCCCAAGACCTGGAGTTTATTGGAGACTTTCACCTCAGGCTTTGCCTGCCCTGGCTCTGCTCCTTGCCACCTCTCATGGTCTCCCCAGAGCTCTTGCAAGCACCTCCTAGACCAGTGGTTCCCCTCAACTCTGCTGGGCTGCCCCAGGTTCTCCAGTATGGGCTATCAGCAGGACCAGCTGTGTTTACTGACCCAGCATCCTATATATAGGAGTGGGAAGGAGGGCTGTTCCTTGGCTTCCCAAAATTTCTTCAACCTGAGTGCTGGCAACAGGGGCAGGATGAGGATGTATGGCAAGGTATTTCCAATGCAATGGCAGGTGTGGAGAATGGTATCTGAGTTGCAAAAGTGCTTTTTTTTTTTTCCCTACCAAAGTGCAAACCAGTGCTGCCTCTGCAGAGCTGCTGAGCTAAAACCCACAATGCAGAGGAAGGTGTTGGGGGTGCTGGTCTCGTTTGGTACCATTGCTCCTTCCTGGTGTATTACATGGACCTCACGCCATCCCTGCAGTACAGGATGGTCTTGGCTGCATGGTGCTCATGGCATCTCTTCTTGAGAGCTGAGCGCAGCATGCCCATGGCGGGGAGCAGCCTGGCTTGGAAGTGGGGGCTTTCTGGAGCCCAGCGGAACGGACAGTCCTTCACTGCTCTCTTTGCGTGCTCTGGCTCGGCAGCGGGACGCTCAGCTGCCTGCCGTACCCCGCGGAGGACAGACACCCCGAGAAGCTGAGCGGCTGCGCGGGCAAGGAGGCCTCCAGCACCAACGGCTGTGTGAAGGGGAAGCAGAGACGAGACCACGCGCGCCGCAGGTCACGCAGGTACGAGCCAGGGCTGTGAGCAGGGGGATGGCAGAGGAGGCCTCTGGGACTGTTTCCCCAGCCCTTATGGGGGCCTGTGAGAGCCTGGGATGGCTTCGGTGGCTGTGTGAGTGTACAGCGAAGGTAGGCAACTGTGTGAAACCCCTGTGTATTTGCAAGGAGAAACCCATAGTTTATGTCCATTCCACATCTTGCTGTTACAGCCTCCTTGCTGTGACCTGCCAGCATCCCTGTGTGCTACCAGGTTAACAGGGTACCCCTGGCTGGGCATCACCCGCAGCAATTATCCTCTCCCCATGCCCGCATCAGAGCAGCAGCACTGGCTTCATTAGAACACAGCTTCATTATCAGTTTGTTATTAGCCCCTGACAACTTGAGAAGGGAAAAATGAATTGAATGTTGTAAATGAAGCAGCTGGGGTCCCTGAGCCCTGGCTGCTAAACTCTCTGGGATTAAAGTCTCTCTGTTTGGTTAAAGATGCTGGAAAGAAAGAGCAAGAAAGCACATTTCATATCTTCAGATTTCAGGCTAACCGGAACAATAATCTAAAGCGTATTTTAATTAGACTTTGATTACAATCGTGGAGAAACAATTAAAGCTGTATCAGTGCAAGGAGAAAGCTTCCACATCAAAGACAAAAGGCTTTATCTCAGGAGAGGGAGAAGGGCTCTACAGAAACTGCCTGCAGCTGCGTGGTCAGAAGTTTCTCTCATCTCTCCCATGGCTGTGGCCCTGGGCAAGGGGGGAGCTGAGATGCACTGAGACTTGTTTGTGGAGTCCAAATCTGTCCTAGGGGAAAGCATGTGGGAGCTGGGGTTGAGCATCCTGGTAACTGAGGGGCTGAGAAGGGTGTTCAGGTCCCTGGTCTAGCACAGACCCTTAGGATATCTGTGGGCAGATGTCTGAGCTTAGCAACGAGCTGTCTTGGAAAACACATTTCTTCTACCTTAATGCAGACCAAAGACCCACTGAGGCCAAGGTGTGCCATGTCCCCTAAAAGTGCTTCTGCTGGTTGGTGAAACCCTTGAGAGGAGAAAGAGCATTTGGGTGCTCCTTGGGGTCACAGTGTGGTTCCACCTTGGGTTTACTGCACCAGACCCACTCGGCATGCAGCTATTCCCAGCTCCCACCCGAAGCCTCAGTGTGCAGTTTCATTTTGCAGAGCAATTTTTTAGGAAGTGTGTTAAAAGAGCTCAGCAACTGCCTTTTTATGATAGGGTAATTTTGGTAGTAATTCAAGCCCAGATAAGCAAGCGCTTGGGAGGCAGTGGTGCCTGAGTGTGCGTGTCCCCCCCTCCAAAGTGCCATTTGCTCTGTATTAGGGTTTCTATCAACGACAACACTTGTTCTTCCTGCAGAAGACTGCTCAACTTTTGGCCTGTTCCTGTAGTGACGATCCCGTGGCATTTCCCAAACACGAGGCTGCTTCCACACGTCCCCTGCTAGTGCCTGCTCCTGCTGTCAGGGCGAGAAGTGGGGAAACTGAGGCACAAGCACAGGGCCCTTATTTCCAACAGTGGTTTTGCAGAGGCCCTGTGGAGCTGGTTGTGCCCCTCACAAACCTCAATCTGGATCCATCTGGGGATCTGCTTGGGGAGCTACAGGCCGATCTGGGGATCCACCAGCCGCCCCGTCTTTGTGGCTACTCATTAGCCATAGTAAATGTTCATAGAGTATCTGTTGTATTTTCAGACCAGAGCTCTGAGTTAATTTAACCACGGTATTTGCTTTACATTGAAACATAATGTGATTCAGTATCATATGTTTAAAAAAGAAATTAATTTACAGGAGGCTCTTTTTCCCAAGGTTTAACAACTGTGTAGGAGATGCATATCTTATTAAATTACCATAGCATCTCAATAAATACATATACATTCCTAATCAATTGCTATTTAACATATGTCAAATCTTTTATTAGAGTCAGATGCATGTGGTTGTGATAATTATTGTATGCAAATGAAATTCCAATTAATTACTTAAAGCATATTTACAAAGAGAGATGAAAACCTATAAATCTGTTACGGAGTTGTTAACCTCAGCAAACACGCTTTAAATCATCACCCAGCGTTGCTGTACAGGAGCTGTCTCATTATATCTCCATTAGACCCACAGAGGAGACACTTCATTTAAACTGTGACCAAAGTATTCATTAGAGGGTAATTAAGCACTTCCCTGCGCCCCAGGTCCATGGTGAGCACCGATCTCTCTGCCCCTCGTCCCCGAGGTGGGGACGGGCGAGAGCAGCCCCATGTGAGCTGATTCAGGGTTTGTTGTTATTAATTTCTGCTCGGTTTATCCCCACTGTGTCCTCAGCCCGTCATGCGATGGGGAGCGACCACCACAGCCAGCCCGGGGCAAGAAGAAGAAGAAGAAATCTGGGCGCAAGAAGCGCAGGAGGTGAGGGTGGCCATGGCAGCGGGAGGGGACGGGCAGCCCTGGCTCTGTGTGAGGGGATAGAGTCAGCGTAAAACATCTCTGTCTATGGCAGGGGTTGGAACTGGATGAGCTTTAAGCCTGTCTGGGGTGATCCCAGGATTCCCAGGCTCCTCTCCATCCCAGGGGAATGCCACTGGTGGTGGGGTAAGGGTTGGTGTGGGCAGGGAGGGCTGTGGGGAGCCCTGCGGTCCCTAATGCCCCTCTGCCTCCTCAGGTCTCCCTCCTACAGCCCCTCGCCTGTGAAGAAGAAGAAGAAGAAGAGCTCCAAGAAGCGAAAAAGAAACAGGTATTTTTCCATTAAAACGTAATTCCTCAGCGCTGGCAGTGGCTGGAGGCGGGGGTGGGGGGTTGGAGAAGGGGTGGAAGCTGTGGCTGGCAGG